TTTAGATTGATCTGGTGTTCATTCAACCAATCCATCCCAGAATCAGATTGAACTCCACTAAAAGAACCTCCATAAGATCGACAAGGAAAATTTCACCTTGAACCTCCAGAGGAAAACGTCTGAATACCTTATTCACAACCACTGACTATCCTACTGGAGTCATAACAGTAACTTAACTCTCGGTGTCCTCTATTGAAATTTAAAGATCTTGGGATATCGAACTCGAAACATAAGAGTGGGTGGAGTCATTGTCTAATAATGCAAAGTATGGAACATAATAAATAGTAAATGTACCTATGATAACCTCTTTCTTGTCTATATCATCTAGAGTCTGGTGGCATACACAAGAGTTGGTTCTCTAGTCTCATATATTGATAGTCTTCTGTTTTGTTCAGAACATGCTCTACTGTCAGTTCTGAAAACAAATCCAGAAGTTTTCCCTTAACTACGACCTCTAGTTAGGGTCTGAACATATGCCTAAGAACTTGCAGGTGCTGGAGTGGATGTTTACTCTGTAAACACCGGATATGGATAATTCTTCAAAAAGTAACCAATATACCTACATAAAAAACAAGTGCCTGCCTTTTTTTGACACTCTCCTGTATGATAGTTTCCACAAAAGTCATAAACAGGAAAATGAAAAAACACGATTAATCACCTCGAGTAAGAGCTATGACGGAGGTGTTGTATGCCTAGAACTATAATGGCTCCTATGAGAAATAGCGATATGAGTCCTCTTCCTAAGGCGTACAGAAGACTTAGTCGGACCAAAGGACCTCCTAGATCGCTCTCGATCTACTTAGTTACTAACAGGAGTTGTGGCCTCAATCTTCTCAGCATCTTTTTCTCTGCCCACCAAAACATCAAATACCTCATCCTGATGGGTCATCACCTGTCTACGAAGTTCATGCCTGAGTCCCTAAGAAAACTTGCGACACCTACCCCTCTCAGTAGGTACCACACTAGAGTCATAATTCATCAGCTTCAGTAATTCTATCTTATACTCGAAAATTGTCATATATCATTGAACCAAATCCTGAAATTGCTATCGTCACTCAGCCAAATAGCGCTCTCTAAGGAAATGATTCTTGAAGTGCTCCTTGAAGAAGTCCCACGTCAGACAGTTGACGGGGACACTACTCACTACTTACTCGCACCAAGTATGGGTGTTCTTGTCAAGCATCGAGACAGCTCCTAAATACCTCTTCGATGAATCCAATCCCAACAGATCCATACATCTCTCTGTATCGTAGAGCTAGTCCTTAACTTCTGTAGGAACTCCTCCAGTTGGACCTCCACAAGTCATGACCCCATGGACGATCAGGGTCTGAGTAATCGAAACTTTAGGTGAAGCACTGGCTACTCTAACCGCACCCTAAATCAAATGAAGAAACTATCTACCGAGATTCTCATCTAGTACCACACTCCTAGGATCAGAACCAGACAATGGCGCTCCCCTGATAGGTGTTGTCATATCAATTCCAGGAGTAGGGGTGAATCTACATTAGAATCATTTATAAAGTCAATAAACCTAGCAGTTCAACCTCGCCCGCGGCCAAGCCGACGACCTTGTTTAATGCTCATAGGGAGGATCCCAGGCTCACTACGCAAGAGTCAAACTTGGGGTTATATTTGATACTGGAGTACCGAACACAATTAAACTTGTAAAAATAGGTGACATTGCCTTACAGAAAATTGTAAAGCGTTTTCATAATAATGTTTTTATTTACGTATAACTAATTCACAATCTGGGGTTTAAAAACCAAAAACTCTGATACCAACTAAATGTAACCCCCTAGACACAGTCTATGCATTATGACCCGATCTAGCGAATTACAATAAAATTTTCAAAAATATTCATCGATAATTTAAATCCATATTACAAAATAACATCTTTAAAACATAGTAACAACAATAAAATCTAAACAAGGAAAGATAAAATCTTAAGTAACTGAGTAAAATAAAATGTGTCATAATCTGAATCGCAATAAATCTAACATCAGTAGAAAAAGCAATATTAATAGTTATAAAAATAAATATTTTAAATATAAGCACATGTCATTGTAAATGAAGGCATTTCATAAAATAAAAACATTACAACAAAATATACTGTAATAATGTGTCGATCCTTTAAGTGTCAGGTCCGGGGTGCCTATCCAAAAGTATCTGAAAGGGGAAAAGTATAAAAAGGTTAGCTAAGGAGCTCAGTATGTCCCAATAGTTCAAATAAAAAATTGTATTTAAGTATTCAAAAAATGATTTAATAACGTAATATAAAGTAATCAGTGAGATTTTATAGTTTAAAATTCATATATACCCTCCTACCGTACACCGAAATACAGTTTCCTAGAATTGCATCCATAATGACTTACCATATACCTATTGGATATAAGAGCCAACCTAAGGGAACACCTTGGGTAGTACCCTAACCGAAACATAGGATCCCACCTGGGGTAGTACCCCCAAGCCATAAGGTCTTGCCCAGTGCACAAAGCAGAGGAGCCACCCTAAGGGACTACCTTAGAGTCCATAAGGTTTTACTCTAGTCCTAGTGGGCCTAGGTGCCCACCCTAGGGTCACGTTAGGTCCATAAGGATTTACCAGCTTGATCAGAGCTGCACCTTAAAGACTCCAGGTAACATCCCAGAAGTATTCCAATAAAGTAATGTATAAGGTATCAATAAAGACACTAAATTTAAAATTCAAAAAATAATCATTTCCTAGTAAAACAAGTTACCAGAGAGAAGATATCAGACAAACATATTTATAATCGTAAAACAGGAATCCATAAATCAAGATTTAAAATCAGATAATTCATTCAAAATTTACAACAAGTAGAACAATAATATAAAAACAACCATATAACACATTAGGAACACATCTAGCAAAAAGAATCAGTCAGTAATCTACTGAACACCTACCTCGCCACGCTCTGCAGCAGTGCTCAAACCTAATTCATAGTAAACTAAGTTAATATCAGAATAATATTTTAATTTGAATTTTTCTTAGGGTTTATAGATCATACGAGTAATCACTGGCTCACGAAGTCGAACGGATCAAGAGGAGTTGGGTCGAGCTATCGAACTGTCAGGAGAGTCTCATGTACCTTCAAATAACAATATATTAGTTCAGTCATTAACCTTACTTTAATTATTCTTAAATAAAATAATCAAGTACATATGCATGCTCAGGTTTGACGGTCAATTTAGAGGCTTTCGAGTTCAAATTTGACAAAACGGATTTAACATTCAGACTCAGGATATCGAAAAACATAAAATATTCATTTTTGGAAAATTTGGCAATTTTGGAAAATTTGACTTTTTTGTCAATGTCAAAGTCAACGATGGTCAAAGTCAAAGTCCACTTCGATCAAAGTCAACGGTCAAGTCAACAGTCAATCAAAGTCAACGAGTTGACTCTATTCGAGTTAACTCAGCGAGTTGGCTCAACTCGACCCAGTTTGGTCTGACTGGACCGGTTCCAAAAGACCCCTGGACTGACAGAGGAGCCCCACGCGCATTATCAACGAGTAGTGACGACGAAGGTCCAATTGGTCGACCGAACACTCTGGGACCATCCAAACACCATTACTAAGCCATAACAACGCTCAAAATAAGCTAAAATCACCTGAATGAAAAGCAAAAAGGTTAAAATTTTTACCCCGATAGCGAACAAACGATGTCGACATGACCCATCGGTTGGGTTTTGAGCGTAAGGAGGTGGGGAGTTCAGTGGTGGCGGCGGTGAGGCAAGCGGGTGTCTAGATCGGTAGTAATCGTTGAAAATAGAGGTGTGATTTGGGGTTTTTGTCATATGTTCGAGCGTCGATTTGCGTCGAACGACGACGTTACTCGGTGCGATAATGCTCGGGTTGTGGTCGCCGGTCGACGATAAGTCGAATGGTGGTGGTGGTGCGCTTAATAGTGGTAGGATGGTGATGGGTTCGACGAAGAGAGAAGGCGACAACTAGGGATTAAGGTTGGGAAATTTGGGGATTTAGGTGTTATAACACGAGCCTTAAGCCTTAAAAAAATTAATAATAACTCACAGCAGTGTCCTAACCTAAACGACTAAGGCATATTCGACCATATGTGGGTATAGGGGTTCAAAACCCTTTAGCCATCTAATTCTTATTTTATTTTTTTCTCTACCAAAAAAAAGGAGAAATTAAGTTCCTAAACTCACTACAGATTCAAAATCGAGCTACAACTTTTGAAACTTACAATTTAATCCATAAATTAACTAAATTAATTATTTATATTTTATTTATATTTTTATTTTAAATTGGGGTTGTGACATGAGGAGTTTGAAAGAGAGTTAGAAACGGTTGATAGGGAAAAGTTTGCACAAACCATGAGAAAAAAAGAATGAAAAGAGGGGAAGTTTGGGTTTTAACCTAGACTAATGGGTAATTAAACCATTATCGCTACACTATTGAGAACTCGTGAAAAGGCATAAAAACTTTGAGCTTTGCAACTTAATCCCGACTTTAGGGGTGTGACATTTTAAAACAGATTTTTCAAAATTATATATATATATATATATAATTTTTTATATGCATATGTATTTTAAAAATGAATGTCACAAGAAGTATTTTTATTGGGTGTATTTTTTATATGCATATATACTTGTTCGATATTTTTAAGAATTCAATCATGTAAATTTATTTTTAAATTTATGTTAATATTTAAATTTGACTTCATAATTTAATTTAATATAATTTTTTAATTAAATATCTAAACTTGACTTATTTTCTTAAATTCATACTTTAATTTTTTATTCGAATAGAATTATTTTAAATTTAGATCTATTTAAGTTAGACAAATAACTGTAACTTTCAAATGTAAAAATTCATAAATATCAAATTAAACCAACAAACCAAATTCAAATATTAATTTGAACTAAAAAAATCAATTTTAAGTACTTAGTTGGAAAAAAAATTAAAGTAAAAAAATTCATAAATCAAATTAAACATTTAAGCCAAATTAAAGGTACCAAAATGCAGTAAAAAAATGGAGTGGTGAAGAAGTACAATTGTTTTCATTCATAAAAATGTAGATTTCAACTTCTATACACCAGCAAGCAAGAGACTGTTTAAACTTTTCTATATTTTCTCTCTCAAATTTCTTAACGACACCATTAACAGTAACTGCAAAAATACTTCAAAAAAATCAGAGTTGAATAGGCTCCTGCTGCTGCAGCCATGGATGTATGGCATATAGTCTTCAATCTGAATCACTTTCCACACTCCGCATGGCCTTCAATCCCCTTGGCCTCTGCATTAAAAAGTGTGAAGATAACTACATGTGCATCCTGCACAACATATCGAAAAACTATAAAAATAACTTTTTTTAATAGTCTTGAATGATTACAAATGATCCAATAATCTTTCTTAGCCATTGACAATGATACACAAATGCTCAAACCCGAGAACTCTAGGATAGTTATATTGTGGTCAATTAAAAGAAAGAAAGCAAAACCATATGTTTACCTTCTTAGAACTCTTCTTTTCCCTAACTTCATATCTTTCTTGGCACATATCAGTCAACCATGCCCCAGTGCTCACCAGCTGCCAAAACTCACCACAAAAACATTGTCAAAAACACTGATAGATAGGTATTTCAGATTACCAAGCAATTGGATTATACTTACAAGTAAGCTCCTTTGGATGATTTTGGCTCTCTTTTTAGGCCTTTGAGGGGGTTTACACCCTTTCATTGCCATGAAATCCTCCTCTTTTTCTTTGCTTGACAAAGTGATATACAGCTTTGGCCACACTATCCTTCCTTTTTTATCTTCTCCATTATTGATGCTATCCACTGTAATCTTCCCATTCTCATCCACCAATCCCACTGCTGATGATCCCTTTGTTGCGTAGTACCTGTCTTCCTTCTCGGCTGACGACAACACTTTCCGATGATCACTTGATCGGAGTATAGCTGATTCTGAATTCCTACAAACCACAAGTACAAGAAAAGAGGACTTCAGTTTCACATTTTTACCAGTTTGCTTATTTTCATTACAATGGTTTTACATGGGAAATTTCTCAACACCATGTTTGGCAGTCACAGAACTAAAATTAAATAGACCAAACGAATCTCAGCAGCCAAACAGGGGATAACCAGGTGCATAACCTCATTTAGTCATTTTCTCGGAAAATCCTTGGGCACTGGCAGATGGTTTATTGGGAAAACCCCATATCCAACAGCTTCTCAGAAATCAGAGAAAAGGGTTAAATCAAAAAATTCCAAGAAAGAAAAAAGCTTGAAAACAAAGAAAATCTCATTTTATTTTTCCCAAACCATCAAAACGAGCCATGAAAATTCATGTTTTTTATTCTAAAAAAAAAGCATTGATCTTCATACCTAGTGAGACGATGAGTGTATTGAGAAAATGGGGAGGATTCTTTATCTAAGAGACGAGAAGTGATTCTTCTACGAATTATAGTATTGGATTTAAGAGAGATCTTCTGAGGGTGGTCTTTAACTCTCACACATCTTAGCCTCTTTCTATTCCCCCACTGTAAGAACACCTCTGGTTCTATTGTTTTGCATGCTCTTTGGCTCCTCTCTTCTTTCTCCATCTCTGCCATTAAAAACAAATGAAAAAAAATCAACTGTCTTACCCCAAAAAATCTCAACGTTGAATAGAAAGAATAAAATTCAAAAGACCCGAAATCGGATTTTGTTGAAGAAAGTGGAATTGTGGAAATAATACAACTTTTTTCTTTTGGGAAGACCAATTTGGGTGATTCATGCTGTGAAAATCAAAGTGATGATGAAATAAAGCCTGGGTATTTGCAGTTTTTTAAGAGGAATCAGTTGCGTGACCTTAAGATCTAAGAAAATACACTACAATCTTCCCTCAAAAGAACCTAAAACTCCAAGGAAAATAATAAATCAATTACCAAGTAAGAAAAAAGAAGCTTAGGGGGGAAATCAGCAAAAGAAGAAGAAATCATACAGTGAAATACTGTCATCCCCGAGAAAAACAAAAATTTGGTTGTCTTCCTCTACTGTTCGCCTAAATTATTACTGCAATTTCTCTGTTACTGCTTTCTCAATTGAATTTGAGAAGGGCCTTCCTCTGTTGTTGGTGTTTTCTATTTCAATCTCTTTCAACTTTTTTTTTTTTTGTTAGTGAATTCTGGTTTCTGAGGAAATTTTGGAGATGAGATGAAGCAAAAACAAAGAGGATATGGTGTTCGTATATCGAGTGGGTTGGTTGGCGAGGTGGGTGCCATTACTTCCATTTTAATGGATCCTTCGGCTAAATTTTTAGAAAGGCCTTCAGTTGGGCTTAAATATATTACATATGGCCTTCATGTTAATTCAAAATATATTTTCTAGACAAAAAATCAAAGAGGTTTTACTCATGGACGTAAACGAGTTGAGAAGATATCAAGTATTATTAAATTTGATTTGAATTAAAAAAGTTTAAATATAAACTTGAATTGAATCAAAAAATTAAAATATGAGCTCAACTAAATTTGAAAGCTCACAAGTTTAAAATTATCAAGCTCGACTCAAACTTTTAAAAATTGAAGCTCGAACTCGAACTCAAACATAAACATTAAGTACATGAAAATCTTATATTACACTTAAATATATATATATATATATATATAAATGTTAATATTATTAATAAATTTAATTTCAAAATTAAAAATTTAATATATTATTTTTTTGAGTTGTTCATAAACTTTTTGAGTTAAATATCAAGTAGCTCACTTTGACTCATTAAAAACTCGAATCGAATTCAAATTTAAGTTAAATCTATTCAATTTGAGTGTTAACTGAATTTTAACTAAATAGAACTCAAATAACTGGTGAATTTTTAATATGACACATGTAACATAATTGATCACTTAATTTTATGTTATACTTTGTGATAATATTGTACATTAAACATACATGTCCACAATTATAGATTCTAATACAACAATTTGCATATAAATCCGCCTTCATGCCGCCCATCACTGCTTGTCTCAATCTCCTTTGTCTTCATTTTCCTTTGTTTATGAAAAAAAATCATAATTTCATAAACATTATTAAAATGATAGCAAAATTTCTTTAAAACATTTTAAAAACTTAATAAATAAAAATATATAACATTATCATCATCTTAAGACTTGTAAAATTAATTTTTTTATCCTAAAATATGCTAAATAATAACTGAACTTACAAAAACAAATTAAACCTGTCTTCAGAATTCAATCAACTATATTTAAAAATGGCAAACTACATGATTGATCAATTTCATTAAATATTTGTACACTTTTGCTCACTAAATTCAAAAAAATATAAGTTTCAATCATTTATATTATCGTTTTATTAAGATTTGGTCACTGAAACGTTACCTGTCATTAGTTTTATGACGTGTCACGTTAGTAAAAATATTTAATTTTTATTTAAATCATTGAATTTTAGATAAAATACTAATCATGGGCCTTTTTGTAAACCCAACATAGTTTAGAGACAAAATATCAATTTATCCATTTTTTTAATATGTATTCTTCCCCAATCCTATGTTTCACTTGCGACACACACCTCCATTGCTGTATATTTCTCCGTCGCCGGTCAGACGAAAATGGAGCAAGAAACTCCGACAAACCGATCTCAAGCACAACCCTAATTTACTACGCTTTTATCGTTTTAGATGTCATGCTCTAATTGGTCATTGTTGCAATAGTAATCTTGTGCTGCTTGTTTCGACTATTTTGTAGTTAAAGTTTAGGATTTTTGCTCTCTTTTTTACTTTACCCTAAACCCTATAAAAAGGTTGTTGCGTCATTTGAAAAGGATTTTAAGCTTCTTTAGTGCTTAAAAGCTGACAGCACACCTGTTTTCTATGAGTTTTACGACTTATATTGCTGGATTGAAACTATCTTGTGACATTTGTATGTAGATTATGCAATTAAAAATGTGTTGTTTTAATTTCGACCTTCAACAATGCGTCTATATCCCCTTCAGTGCAACCTACTTTTCTCTTAAATGTTTGTTATTGCTACCCTTTTACTTTCGGTCCATTCAACCTCGGCTGCTTTTAGTTGCAGTTACTACCTGATTGTGGTTGTTCGAAGTTTGAAATAACACCATTTTCTAACTCAAGTGCGTAAAACATGATTGTCGCTTGAGATCGATTTGCCGGAGCTTCTTGCTTCATATCCGTCAGGTGACCGGTGACGGAGAAGATAAACATCAATGGAGGTGTGCGGCGCAAGCTAAAGATAGGGTTGAGGGAGAAAACATATTAAAAAAATGAATAAAGTGGTATTTTATCCTTAAACAATTTTGGGTTTGCAGAAAAATTACATCATTTTACTAATGTGGCACATCATCAAACTAACGATTAGTAACTAAATCTTAATAAAACGATAATTTAAGTGACCGAACTTATATTTTTTTAATTTAGTGAGTAAAGGTGTACAAATATAAGTTACCAATCCTGTAGTTTACCCTAAAAAGTTAAACTTGTTTTCAGAATTTAATCGGCTCTATTAAAAAATTTAGGGCAAAATACATAAATGGTACTTCGATTATTAGTATTGTTATTTTGAGTCCTTCAACTATTAAAAATTATATAATGAAGTTTAAATTGTTCGGAAAGTGATATCACAGTCATGAAGTTTAAATTGTTCGGAAAGTGATATCACAGTCATGAAGTTTAAATTTCAAATTTGAATACCTCCAATTGTTTTGTAAGTAAGATACTAATTTATTGGTAAACAAAAACTTGATTGATTCTCTTCCGTTCCTTTTTCCTACATTGTTCTCGTGTATTCCTTTTTCTAATCTATTTTTCAGTTTTCCAATCATGTTTTTAAGGTTTTTTTATAAAGAAAATAAAGCATTATTCCACAATTCGCAATGGGATCACGTCGGTTGATTTCATATTTTCATTAAGCCACTCAAATATGCAGTAGCAGTGAATTTCAAGCGAACCACAACAATTCCCCTTTTTTAATAAACTGAAATTACTTTTTTTAATAGAATATAATTAGCTTGCTTGAGAATAATCAATATGCTTGTTATTTTTGTCTTTAACTTTACCAAAGTCGAATTAAATCAAGTTTATGTGAATTTAATTTTCCTCTATTATATTATATTTGCTAAAATGTTCTTCTTAATTTTATAGTTGTTTTTAATATTTTTAATTATATATTTTAATGATAATTTATATATAAATTTTAATTTTATAACTTTTATTTTTTATAACACTTTATAATATTTATTTATTTAAATTTTATAAAAAAAAATTAGTGAAATCGAATTCAAGAGACATTTAGAGTTTAAGATAATTAGATGTAAACATATAAAATAAAATTTATACATGATAGACGAGTTCATGTTTATATAAATAAAAATAAATTCGAGGTAAAATATAATAATATATTTTTAAATTTTTAGTAATTTAATATTTTTATATTTATTTTTTTTTTGAATATTTTTATATTTTAAATTTAAAATAATTTTATTTTTTCTAAAAAAATCGAATAAGCTCTTGAACTTTTTAAAAAGAGTCAATTTGACCCTCGAACTCGACCAAATAAATCAATTTAGTTTATCTGCCACATCATCAACCACGTCACCAATCACTATGGACTGTCACATCAATATTGTTAACTGTCACGTCAACACCATAATGATAAAAGACGGAAACAGTTGGTCAAAAGGCCATATTGAATTTGTTTTCTAAGTTTAAGGGTCCATTGGGTGCAAAAAAAAAAAATACAAATGTCACATTGATTTTTTCTAAAAAAAAGTACGATGATCTCACGTACCCTTTTTGCTTAAGCATCATGAAATATTTTCTATGATAAATTTAGTTGATATAAAATGTATAGTGACCAAAATAGATGTTAAATGTGACTTTTTACATTAATGGTATAAGATTTTTTTAAAGACTAAGACGCTTATAAGATAATATATGTTTATAGTCTTTTTTTAGTCATTTACAACACACAGACGTAGTTGCTCCAACCTAGAATCTCAAAAAGAAATGTCACTCTTTAACTACTAAGGTCATTCAATAAATTCAACTTTAAAATTTCCTTTAAATTTTAAATGAATAAAGATCGATAAAATCTTAAGGAGTAAATTTTACGAGTTGAGATGATATGGTTTTGTTATTTGATGAATAAAAATGACTCTTGAAGTGGGCTAGTGATTTAGACATCAAATATGAGTTTAACAATAAAGATCCTCTTTTTATGGTCAATTGAACTTAATATTCACTCGACTAAGTCCAAATTTTGTATGAAGAATCTAATTATGTTTATTAATTTTTGTCTTTCCAAGATTACAAGTGAGGATTATAGGTTCCAGATTCGAACACTAAAGACTATAAAAATATAAAAAAAAAATTTATCAAATAGTTGAAAATCTTTAAAACATATATTATATTATAATTACTCAAGATTAATAAAAAAAATGTAACTCTCCTCAAAATCTTAACGTAAGCAAGGAGAGCAACGAGTTAAAGTGGTCCATGAATGGCGGCATTACAAAATACCAGTAATCAAATTCTGAACAACATTATTTGACCAAGATGAATGTTTGTTTGTCATCAAATTGATTTGACAAACCGGAGCTCATTAAAACAAAAACCAAATTTGCATCTTCTGGATATTTTGGAACATTATTCAACTGTCAAGGCCTACACACGGCAGCCCAACTCACCCACAACTTGCAATGATTCTCGGTACCCAACACATCCTTCCAACAAACCCAATCACATCCTTCAATTTCAATGTAAACCCATATCAACCCATTTTTTATAGAATAAATTACCTATTTAGTCATCTAATTATTATAGTGGTTTTATTTTGGTCACTCGATTATTCATTTCAAATCATACCTCAAGTTATGTTTTAGTCTATTTCGATCATCTGTCGTTAAAAAATTAACAATGATATTGATGTATCACCATAAGATAATACAATATCATCATTAAAAAAATAAAAGAAAATCAAACCGACATTTATATTTTCCAACAATAGATAACCCAAACGAAACTAAAACATAGTTTTAAGTATGATTTAACAAATAATTGAACGATTAAAATAAAAGTATAAAAATAGTTGGGTGACTAAATACGGAGTTTACCCTTGTTTTATAAAACTTTCATAAATGACTCAATAACTCTTATATGTTTTTCAACCGCAAGTAATTAAAATGAAATTAAAACATCATTTTAAATATATTTTAAAAAATAATTAAATGATTAAAATAAAAATATGAGAATAGGTGAGTGATTAAATAGTTAGTATACTTTTTATATATAAAACTTTCAGAAATGGTGGACAAATTGTTCTGAGGTGTGACATGACTCAATAACGCTTATCTGTTTGGGTGTGCATTCAATCAATCATTTTCATTGTGTGTTAAAATATCTTCATATGATTTAAATGGACATAAAATTCATTTGACAGCTAATTGGGTGGATTCTAAGTTTGATCCATTTTGATTAAAAACTCACCCAGGGCACTTATTTTAATAGGAAAAGGAACTGTCTTCTGTTGTGAAATTGAAACTAATAAAAAATATTCAATGAATTGTGGATAAGTGTTCTTCAATTTCAAAGACCTGCTTATTGTTTGATTTTGTGTAGGATCCCACCCCCAAAATAGGCAAAATGGCTGAGTAAATGGTGTGGGAAAAAAGAATTCTAAATGTAATCCAATTTGGGGGACTATTTCTCTATTTAAGGTGAATCGCACAGTACCAACCCAAAAATATTAGGTGCTCCACGGGTCTTCAAGTCAAATATTAAGACTCGAAGACTGTATGACGTCTTCAGGCTAATGGAGAAGAGCCCACGACTACATGACGTATTCAGACTAATGGAGAAGATCACAGGAGTAAACAACGTCTTTAAACCAATAAAAAACTTTAATTCAAGAAATAATATGATGGATGTTTTATATGAAAAAAAAAAAATTTTCCCACAACCTATATGAGCTAGGAAGCCCCCCAAAATGATACATGCCTTAATTAAATTATCTTTCAAATGAGTCACGGAGTTTTAAATTTTGACAGGGATAAGACAATATTTATTTTTCAAATTTTTTTAAAACTCTTTGGATTTAAATTTAAAATTTAATAAACAAAAGAATAATATTATAAAATCGTATCAGATAAGATATTATAAAAATATAATAGAAAAGAAGATTGGCTCGTATAAGAAACTGAAAAAGTATTTTCTCAATTATGATAATTATTATAATATTTATTGAAAAATGTTCAAATCATTTTATGACTTCTGAATTATATGATTTTTGATTTCCAGAATCTATGCTACTGGATTATATGTAATCCAGAAAAAAAAAACATTGTGTTTTCGTACATTTTTCTAAAGGTATCATGCGTCTTTTCAAAAACATCAAATAATCTGAATAATGTTTTATCGATATTATAACATTTATACTATTTAACAAATAATTTTTTGTTTAAACTGCTATCTAACAAATTTACCCATATCATCATTTTAATTTTTAAAATACAATCTTAAAATATTATATCACTATACGACCTTTTTTTATTTAAGTACTTATATCTGATTTAAGTACCTATATCTAAGCAAATTTACTATATTAACTTTTTTATTTAAAGATTTATGTTTAATTTATTAATCAATTATATTAAGTTAAAGTTTATAAAAAATTATTATAAAAATAATCTTTCCAATTTAATTTTTTCTATTCACAAACAACTCTTGATTTTACTCTAATGATTTTCTTGGTCAAATTAAAATGACTTTAATACATATCAGGAATCATAAAAAACATTAAATCTAAAGACCAAAAGTTATTTTTTTATATTTTAATAGTTGTAACAATTTCTATATTTTCAAATTATATATATATATATATATATATATTTGGGATAAAATAATTTTTAGTTTATAAATTACATGTTTTTTCTTTTTTAATTTTTTAAAGATATGATGTCGTAAAAAATATTCATTATTTATTAATTTTATTTTTCATAGTAAAGAAGGTGCAGCAATGGCAGAAACTATTCCAAGAGAACAACTCTTGCTAGATTTGCTGCCCTTGAGTATTTCCAACTGAGATCATATATAGTTTAGTAAGTGCAGAATTTGCAGACATTTCACTAACATCAACTCCCACAGTATAAAAAACTATACTTGCATTATGATCAGATGAAGATGCAATCAAGTGGCTAAACTAAACACAACAAAATATAGAGCTTTCAGGATTCATAATCCAAATAATATACCCTTGTTTTATGTACAAAACCAGACACTGATGAAGCCCCAGGAGACTTGGCTTTTAAATTCCATCATAGTAACCACCAAACGTTATGTGAGCCCTGGTGATTGGAACTCCTCTAACTGCAGAGATTGCTTCATTGAGTTTTGTTGATTGATGAACCACCTGTTTCATCCTCTGCAATCACAAAAGTTACTAAACAATGGGGCCAAATTTTGCTGTAATTTACAGATATTCCCTGTGAAATTTGATTACCTTTTCATCGGTGTAATGCTGAAACAGCAGTTTCTGGTTCAGTTGGTGTTGTTTCAGCCTCTGTTGAGCTCCGAATATGATGATACAAAAGGTAGCAGCAGCAACACCGAATGAACAAATAGCTCCGATGCCGGTCAAGCTCCATTTCCAGATCCCACCGGAGTTTTCTTCCCAGTCGGCTTCGTTGTTTTCGATCGAGTCCTTGAATTTTGGAGACCGCGTGTTCTGCAAAAACTCACCGTCGTCGTCGTCATCGAAATCAAACGTACCTGCTGCGTCGAGTTGAGGGATGGATCCTTTAGTAGTGGACCTGGTTGAGTCCATTTTGTTGGTCATGTCGACGGATTCATTGTTGTAACTCGGTTTCCTGAAAGAAACTTGTGTCTTCACTTCCCGATCGCCTTCAACCGATTCGATTCCGGCTTCTTTGATCTTCTCCAGGATCATCGACGGCGTGGAACTGAAATCGATGGGTACCCTTTTCGGATCATTAAGGATTCTGGGTTCCAGTTGAAATGGCAGCGGGACAACTTGTTTCGGTGGAGGATGGCTTTTGTCGAAATAATCGGTGAGTAGAACGAGATCGGACACTCGGTTCCCTCCATGGACTTGCTTCTTCTCGGAATCTTGATTGATTTTCAAGAATCTATCGTCGGGCAAGAAAACCCAGTCATCGATATCCATTTCCTGGTGAAGCATTTTTAGGATTGAATTATTGGATCCAAAAAAATGGGTCTTTTACATGTGGAATTTTTAGTAATGGAGTGAAAGATTAAGCCTTTAAATACAACAGTGATGAGCTTATCCTTGTAAGAGATGACAATGTAAGGGAGGCCCACCTACAGAATGCCTTCTCTTACAAGTTCAAGTACCAGTTTCATTAATATTTCCTTATTTTTTTAATTAATCACTAATATTATATTTATTAATCAATTAATCTAAATTAAATATTACAGAATTAAAAATAATATTTTCAATTCAATTTACCTCATTCACAAACATCAAAATTTAAACCCTTAAATTTTACTTCAAAAATCAAATGCCTCGTTCATTATATCAACTTATTGTTGATATACCATTACTTTCTTTAAATATGAATCCAGCAATCTCTGCTAAATCAGTACAAGTGTTGGACACTTTAACAAACACCTGGATATTAAAAAAAATTCATGTATATATATATAATATAAAATTAAGATAAACTTATATAGTAGTATAAAGAATAAATTTCATGTATATATATTAATTTAGTGTAGATTAATTACATGATAATAATATTTGTTTAAAACTGGAGGAGCTACTTTTGTTATTGTAGTATATTTAATTTATTATTTTTGACTTTATGATATTTTTATATCGATTTAACTCTCAAAGTTCTTTTGGAGTATCATTTGTCTTTAAAATCTGATTTTTTTGACTAACAGAATCATTAGTCTTTTACGTCTGTGTATTAAGACATTATATTAAAATATTTACTAAACATAATAAATAATTTTTTTTCTAAATTTTATTATTTATTTCAGTGAGATTAAGAGATTAAATTAAAATTTTGAGGATTTTTTTAATCGTTGTATTTAGTAAATATTTTATTATTTATATTTTAAATAAATGTCACGTCATCATTAAGATGCGTCAATAATATTGACTGATGTGAAATTACTAGCATCTACATGCGCTTAAGGCTAACAATTATGTATTTCAAAACAGACTTTTAGGACTAGGATGATGTTCCTAAACAACTTTGATGATTAAATTGATGCAAAAATATTATAAGAGTGAAAATGATAAATTGAATCTACTACAAGGATGAAAATAATCATCAAGTCTTCAAAAATATTTCTTAACTATTAATAACATATACATATTTTATAGACCCAATCGCTCGAAGTCAATTTTTTTAAAAAAACAACACTTTTTCTTCCATTAATCTTTCCCTCCTAACAAAGATACAAATAAAAAGGTTATTATTTTATATATAGATGTGTAAATATTATATATATATATATATATATATATATATATATATATATAAGTTGTAATTTTAAATTTTAAATGATAGAAATAATATTAAAACAGAAAATATAATTTGTATGTAATAAAAGATAATAGGGAGAAAAGGAAAAAAGAAGTGTGGGTTGCTTGTAGGAGTTTGCTTGGAATGAGAATGATTGGTAAGTTTTTGAAGGATGATACAAGTGTCCATGATCTGGTATCTTCTTTTATTTCATTGTTTTCCCTTTTATTCTAATTTCTCTACATTTATCTTTTAATTATTTTTAATAAGATAAATCTTAATTATCTTTTTAGATCATGATTTAAAATTAATGAATTTGTCATCTTCATAAATTAATTTTAATTTTTTCTCTGCTATTAAATTGGTGCGTTAAATCTGACATTAATTAATCCATTTTTGTATGTATTAGGGATGTGTTTTAATAATTCAAGAAATAACCCGTCATTTTCCATTTTTGTAAGTCGTTTTCCATGGAAAAGCAAACACGGCCTTCATAATACGTTGCAAATTGCAGTCCAAGAATTTATGCCGAAATAAATTTAGGAGCTGAAAATTGCCCCCAACCCACAACAACCTTCTCTATATAATCACCGGTTTTCTATTAATCTAAATCAGGTGGGGATGGCAACGGGACGGTTTCGGGTCGGGAATTGGTCTCCCATTTTCGTTTAAAAAATGTGTACATGTCCCCGTTTAAAAAATTACAGGGATTTAAAAGAGATTCACATCGGGTAAGCGAGGAAACCGTAGGGAAACGAGTATTCCCATTTAGCATAAACAGTTATTTAAACCAGTATCGAGCCGGATATATATATTTAAATTAAAAATATAAATATTATATAAATATTTTTTAATTTAAATTAAATTTATTATATATATATATATATATATATATATATATATATATATATATATATTATCGGGCCGGGTATCGGGCTGGGTATTCGGAGCAGAGATTACCAAACCCGTCTCCTTTTATCATCTCCGAACTCGACCCATTTAATTCGATTTTTGATTTTTCCCGACGGGATCGATTTTTTTGCCATCCCTAAAATGGGGTATTTCATAGACAAAAATGACTCCCCAACCTAATTTGTTTCATTTGTACTGATCTAATTATTTGACATTATTTAAGGGATTTAATATGTTATTCTACTAGATGAGCTGATTACACCTACCTTTACTTACAAGAAGAAAAGAATAAAAATTATCTACAAATTGGGTATTAGTGATTCTAAGCAGATTGAATATTAATATTGTCATAACCATTTTTTGTAAAATAATTAAATATTATTTTAAAAACGATTATGACTTTAATTTAGAAAAATTGGGGAATTTGGAATTAATTTGGAATAATTTGAATAGAGTCGCCATCGACCTTTAGGTTAGGCAGGTCGAATACCTAAAAACGTCTTTTAAAACAATCTTTAAAAATCATTTTTATAAGACAAAATTTGGTATGCGTCACCAAAGATTCGATTAAATGGATTCGGGAATCGGTTACGTGTAGGGAAAGATTAACACCCCACAACGCCCAAAAACTGGTACTGTGTCGCTTACACATTGTCGTAATGGTAGAAATTACAAATCGAATATAAAATTAAGATGTGATCCATTTATTGAAATTTAATCAATTTGCTTTGAATAAAATAATTACAGAAAATTCTTTAACTCGAAAAGAAATATCGAAATTAGTAATCCTCCATCAGGAAAGCTAACTCAACTATTTCTAGTTAATAAAAGAATATTCCCTCATTGATAAATATGCAAATCGAATATAAATGAAATTAACGTTTGCATTCAAATAAAAATGAAATAAATACTGAATTAAAAAACACACATTGCATTATTAAAATAAATTAATTAGTAAAATATACTCGACTTGTTGCAAGTTCCTATGTCGTTAAAATGCCGTATCGGATCGTACCACTTCGACCAAGTGGTACTTTCCACGCCCATTCTACGCATACATGTTCTTGAAAATATAATCGAATATTTCATACATAGATAAAAATATAATGAAAATAAATGTAATTGGAAATACAAAAATAAAATATTTACATTACTAAAAAACATTATTTACATAATACAAATAACCGAATAACAAGTACAATAAAATCATACATAAATGACTAAAATAAAATATTCACAAATATCAGGGATAAATTCGAACATCTACCAAAATACCTATCATATGAAATCAGAGACTAAAACGAAACTATTACAAACATTGGGTCTAAAGTCAAATATCCACAAAATGACATAACATACATTAATAGGGCTAAAATAGAAATACATAAACATAATGGATTAAATTAGTAAAAGCATAAACTAACAGGGCTAAAAAGTAATTACCATAGTTCAAATTGCACATATTAAATAATACAGGTGTTAAAATGAAAATAGCCCATAAATATTGTTAGTGACCAAAATGAGATAAACAGAAAGATAAGGATCAAACTATACTTAAACCAAAAGCCCAACAATGATTAAAATAAAAATCCTACAAAAGACATGGCCAAATTAAAACATCAAAGAAAATACGCCATATATAAAATTAGTGACTAAAATGAAATAAATCACAAATCAGGGCTCAAAACAAAGTATTTGCCCAAAGCACACTAGTGATCAAATAGGGATCAAAATGAAAAGGTATAAAATATCAACTCCAAAATAGAATAAATATAAATCATTAATTGATGACCAAAATGAAAACTACATGAAATTAACAGCTAGATATATAAACATTTAAAAGACATAATACAGGACTAAAATGAATTAAAACAAAACATTAAGACCGACTAATAATTAAACCAAAAGTGAAGCAGTGACTAAAATAAAATATTTAGAAATGATATGACCAGATTCAAATGTCACAAAAATACACACACAAGCTACCAGTGACTAAAATAAAATAACTAAAAAACATTGATACTAAAGTAAAACATACATAAACATGACAAAGTAAACAAACTAGTGACTGAAATACAAATATTGTAAAATACACGTCTGAAACAGAATATTAGAAAATTCATTTAATGATTAACAAACAGATTACAAAATATGGGGGACCAAACATGTAGTTAACCCACAATCCAAAAACACGCATAAGGTCCCCATAGAACGACGTCGTTCGACTGTGTGGTCATAAACCATATTAGGGTTCTAAACCCTAATCCCTCATTATTTTCTTCATCTCTCAGCCGCTCAACCCTCCCCTCTATAACCTTCCCCTTCTCCACTACCGCAGAGAAAAATAACCCTCACCCCGGCCACCGTAAATCGGTGGCCACGGGGATTTAAACTGAACAATGGCCCACCCCTTTCTCTCTTTCTCCTCTACCTTCCTAGAACAAACCTAGAAACCGAGTCCTCCACCCAACTCGATTACACAAAACATTTACCTTTAAAACAGAAAGGCTTGTTGGTCCGGTGAAGCCGCACAACTGCAGTGGTGTCTCGTGTGAGGAAACGGTAGTGGCCGATGTACCAAAGGTGAGAGCTTTTCCTTTTTCATTCTTTGTTTTTTTCGGTATTTTTCCATTTTTTTTTGAAAACCCGAATGCCCCCCTAAAATGGTTGCCTCTTCTCCTTTTTGTTGTGGTTGCTGAATGATGATATCTAGAACTTAGGGAAATTATGGGTTGATTTGGTAGCTGGTGAAATCCTGAATTTTCGGGATTTATTTCGTTTTTAAATAGGTTTTCAATTTAGGTTTACTATTGCTCTGATTTGGTTGAGAAACCGGTC